AGAGTTATGTGTTGTAAAACGTCTGGAATGGAAATACACGCGGTTTGGTCTTATGGAATAACATTTTGGATTATAAAACACAGAAAACATCAACCAGAAGCAGGAATTTCCGGTGAGAACTTCCTTAATATTATCGTCAATATCCCTGCTGTTCTTTTACTGCCTGTAACTTTTTCATATCACTGAAAAGCAAATAAGCTAAGGTTTATGGTGATATATAACATGGGGTGGGTTTCATGCTGTAAGAGAGAAACACAATTAACTAAAATGTTGTTAGTTTTTAAAAAAAAAAAACTTTTTTTTTCTCCAAAAGCCCGTCGGCGTCCGTTTTTTTTTTCTGGGATGCTGAGGCGTTTACTCGCTTTGGCGGTTCTTTTCTCTGTCTCTCTAATATGGCTCTCATGTTATTATTTATTTAAATTTAACTGCTGTTAAAAAACTATGTGTACAATTGCCTGGTTTGACTACATACTCTTTTGTTCAATTGAACTTGTGACTTCCCCCTTTTTGCAGACAAGATAAAATGATGAATGAATATAAACAAAAATGTTTTAACACAGACAAACATTGCAGGGACTACTAGCATCATCATACTGGTATGATTGTGTGCATCAAAGGGTTAAATCAAGCATTTATGAAGTGCATTAGAGGAGATTTCAGAATATCGAGATACATATTGTACATCGCGATGTAGCCTAAAAGTATTGCAATATTGTTTATAGGCCATGTCACTCAGCCCTACGATCATTTTGGCCAGTGTTGACCATTTTTTCCAGCGTTTGAATCTAAAGTGATCACGTAACCTCTCCAAACATCTGTTCCTCTCAAGATTGGCACCAGCTGATGTTCCGTCTCCTGAGGGGAGATCTGCTCCCGCTGCAGCGTCAGCCAGGTCGGGCATAGCATCCCTTTTAAGAGAAAAGCTTGCATGTTCATAGGTATGTTGCTTCCTTCGCCCAATTGCTGTCTGTCACCAAGGAGAGTGGAAAACGTTCTGAGGGATCTCCCTGCTGTTGCTCTCTGCCTCAAATGCCGCTCTGCATACCATGCACCCTGCGCATACGTAGTTTGACAGTGAGGACAATGTCAATACAGTATCAGTGCCAGAAGGATTTGGGCCGATGATCGCACTCGATCGCACACCATTCCCTGTGCCCTGTAAAGGGACAGCACTCTGGGGGGACAGTATATGTACTTCCCTGCAACCCCAGGGAAGCCAGTGTGAATTTGAGGGCAGGTGGCAGAACCTGCACAGACGGCCAGTTGGTTGCAGCTCAGCAGACCTCTTTTTCCTCCCTCCCCTGTCACCCTCTTCCTCTCTTTCTCTCTCTACTTTGAAGCCTCCAGCTCACACTGCAAGAACGCAGCAAACTCCTTGAATGGCATCCTTGGATTGGTGGAGCCTTATGCTGCATAGGTCTGGGAAACCTTTGTTGAGCAGAAGTACTTCACCTCTCCTGACTGATAAAAGAAATGCACTGAGGAGCAGCAGTGAAATGCACTGAGGAACAGCAGCAGCAGCACCAAAGGAAAAAACGGGACCACTCTAGCCTGTGGCCGGCCTATGTCCCGTTACCTAGGTCAGTGGTTCCCAGTGTCGGTGCTGGGAACCCACTGTGTATGCTGGTTTTTATTCCAACCACAACTGCAACCCCACAATCTTAACAAGCTGTTAATTGTCCATTTGTTCATGCTTTCCATGATTACACAGATAATTTGCCATTATAGCTATGCTTGTCCTGAGGCCAAACCTGCATTGTGTTACCATGAAAAGCATGAACAATTGAACAATTGTTAAGATTCTGGGGTTGCAGTTGTGGTCCCAGGACTGACATTGGGAACCCGGCCTAGGTAACGGGACATAGGCTGTCCACTGGCTAGACTGGTCCCGTTTTTTTTGTTTTTGTTGCTGCTGCTGCTGCTGCTGCTGTCTGCTGCTTCTCCAGGATCTCCCTCACTATCATCTCCACTGCATTTTGGGTCAGAGGGGCATCCTTAGGGAGGGCTCACCGCTGGTGGGTTTACTGGAGCAAGAGGCTGGGGTTTCACTGGGACAATGACCGTTTCACTGCCTGCAGTGACACGCTAACACAGCTGCTAGGTCTCCAGGAGCTTCTCTGGGCTGATGTTCAGAGAAGAGCTGGTGATCTTCAGCTTGGCAAGAAGTTTAATATACTTGGAGATATGCTGCTTTGCTGTAAGGTGCAGGAGGCTGTTGGGATCACTACATGCACTCCAGGGCAGCATAGTCACTGTCCACCAGCTTCAGCATGCCTTTCTTCCCATGGTGCTTCACAAGGAGACCATTGATGGCAGCTCTCATGGGCACTGTCCATTGACTGTGGTCCAGGACAAAGTTTTATAGGCCCAGTGCGTGCACTCGGGGAGAGACCATTAGGTGAAGAGGCGATGTGCTTGACAGATCTGAAAGAGGCAAAAATTACTTTAATAACATAATCCTTGAGCAGCAATTTAAACCAAGTATTTGTTTGTGAAAAAAAAAAACAAATACGTAACTGCCCACACACATAAGTGTGTGTATGATAATATTTCCAAATCTTCCCAAGATTGCAAGCATATACCTGCCCCCGGATCAAAATTCGCATGACAGAGCCCTGCGTTAGCTAGTTAGCCGATGTAACCAAATATCACCTAGTTAGCTAGCTAACTAGCTCAAGTTCGTTATCATCACCCAGCTGACAAAGTAAGAAACAGTCAATCAGGCTTGCGTAAAAGAGATTCATGAGGACGTTGTCTCTTTGCACCGTTCAAGCGATCATTTCTCTGTTTTTATACACTCTGTGAATATGTTAGCTAGCTGGTCTCTGGCTGCACATAATCTAGGTAGATAATGACCAGCTAGCTGGGCCAACGTTGTTTGTCGTTACCTAGCTAGCTACCTAGCTTGCTAACGTAAGCTAGCTAGCTAGCTAATGCGTAGTTTGACATTGAGGACAATGTGATGGGTCGCGAGTGGTCTTGGGGGGCTGGTAGTTGGAAGTGGAAAGTGTTGTTTTGTCTTCTCCCATGCTAGCACTGGACTGGCACACGGAGGGCTGTGGGCGCGTGAAATGATGAAATGTCCCGGCCAGGCAAATCCTCTGAGATTAAGCAGAAGCGGCCGAGAAAAGTCGGGACTTTAGCCTGCCAAGCAGATGGCAGGGGTCTCATTGAGAATTTGCGTTTTCTGTAAATCCCAAAATACAGCTGTTTATTTTCGTTCGCCCATCCGGACCAAGGCCCGAGCCAGCTGGCATTGGTGGTTCAGTGGTAGAATTCTCGCCTGCCACGCGGGGCCAGGATTTTGAATTAGAATGATCATTAGACTTATCTACTGTAATGTATTCGAGATTTGATGTCAATTTGAATTTGAAATTTACCCTTAATCACTCCCTTCTCACAGCGTTTAATAAACAGTCATTGCATGCCAGTAGTCATTTCACTGAAAATTACATATATTAGCCCTTATATCTATTTCCATTCCCGAAATGAAGTCCTATATTTTTCATATTTCCTGCATTGATTCCAAGTGCTTTCTCACTGATTGATTTGTCCAATTACTGGCCTTCAACTTTTAAGTCTTCTTAAACAAACATGCGCCGTTCATGCCTTCAGCTCTTGCCTCATCAAATTAAAAGACGGACCAGGGAATATTCAAAAAGGAAATGTGTTTATTGTCTGTGGAGGTATCTATATGTACATTCAACTGTGACACAAATACAGTAAATATATTTCCATTATTTACAGAGCATACAGTGCAAAAACAAAAAGTTGGGCTGGTGAACTCAAAACAAGGAAGGAACA